GGGGGGAGGGGAGCGGGGGGAGGGGAGCGAGCCCGGGCTCATCTTTCAGAGGAAGCTGCTCATCACCTTGCCCGTTTTGCCACATCGCGTCTTCTCTGTGGCCTCAGTTTCCATTTCCTCTGCCCCCTCTTCCCAGGACCCCATTAGAGAAATGGCTGTAAGTCAGGATAGAAAAAAAGTCAAATCTAGAAAGTTCCACCGTGTCCCCTTCTTCTGCCAATTCTACACAGTGAGCTTTTAAAAGTGTAAGTCCGATTGCTTCCCTCGAACAAAGGGATCGGTAGTGCTCGTGGCACTTAGAATACCCTCCTTCTCGTGGCCACCGAGGCCTTGCCTGGTCCCGCCGCGCTCCCCACCCGGCTCTGCGCGGCAGCTCTTCCCGCGCCTTTGCAAGGCCGGCTCCTCCTGTGTTCCCGTCGCGAGCAAGGACTCTGCTGGTCTTGTTTCTGCTGTTTCCCCAGGGCATGGCGTCGGTCCGCCTCGCAGCATGTGCTTAATCTGTATTTACGGAGTAAACGCAGAAAGGGACACACAGGCCCGCCTGCCCCATCAAGGCTTCTCCCGGCGCCGCAGAGGATCCTGGGCAGCACCCACGCCCAGCCCGTAACGCGAGGCTGTTTCTGTTCTGCAGACCCTGCCGTGGGGCACCTCATCTCCACGGAGCCCTCTCCGACCACCTCCCCAAAGCCAGGTACACGCCTGCCCCACCCGCCCTTTTCTAGGCATGTGGCTTGTTCTCCCTTGGACCCACCTCCCTGGACCGGCCAGCAGGATTAGCACCCCTGGGTCCCCTCTGCTCCCCCCACCCCTGCCTGGCTGCCCCGGGGATCCCAGGGAGAGGATCACGCCTTCGTCACTCTGATGGGCCTAGAGGCGTGGCCGCCTGGCTCAAGGTCTAATCCCAGAGTGGGACCAAGGGAGGACCCGGGCTGGGCTGCAGCCCGCTTTGCCTCCGGGGGCTGGGGCTGTGCAGCACCTCGTCACACCCCGGCACTGCCCGCCCATCTGGACGGGGCGTTTTCCTCTGACATTTTCCCCTCTGGATAGTACTGCCCTGGTAGTAGAGAAAAAAAAAGCTTCTTCCTATCCGGTTTGAGAAATTCTGTGGCAAAGGAAACACACTCCATCGCTCTGCTCTGCAGGGTTGGTTTTCTGCCTGGTGTGGAACAGGAAGTTGCAGAGAGAGAAGGGCACGGCCGTCCAAGGCCGGTGCACCTGCGTCTGCGTCTCATGCTGCTGCCTGATGTGGCGTGAGCGGGGGCGAGCCATCACCTCCTGGCCCCCTATCCTCATCTGTCAGTAATGTGCACTCCCAGGACGACAGTGAGGATTCAAAAAGACGACATGGGCCACATGCATAGCTCAAAGAGGAACTTATAAAAAATCAGTGTAGACAGGGAAAATGCATGGGAAACGCGAGGCAAATCTGGCCGGGCTTAGGCGAGCAGGTGTGTGTGAGTTTGGGAGGCCCTATTTGAATCTAAGGGCGTGACTCCCTGCTCTGCAAACAGGACTGTTTCCTTTGTCCAGCCCTCCGAAACCAGTGCTCCGGGTCGAGCCCCAGCTGCTCACGTCCTTTCCAAACTCCCGCTGTTTGGAACCAGATGCGCGGGCTTGTGTGCTGCCTGGGAGACAGGCTGGCAGGGGCAGGGCGGGCGGGACCTGTCCTACCTGGCCCAGTCCAGCCTCAGGCAGGGGCTGGAGGTGGGGGCTGTGGGAGGTGGGCATCTTCGTGTCTGGGCTCTGCGGGAAGGCAGGGCCCCGGACCTGCTCTGCCTCCTGTCCGCCTGGTCTGCCCCTCACCGGGCTTGCCTGGTGTCCCTGCCTCTCCTGGCGCGGCGCCTAGGGACAGCACACGCCTCCTCTGTTCTGCCCAGCGCTGGCGCCCCGCAAGAGCCAGCGCCGCGCGCACAGTCCCTGGAAGTCGCAAACGAGGGGGACTCCAAAGCAGGACGGTTCTGTTCCCTCAGAGCCTCCCCCAAATTGTAACCACCATTCATTAATCGCTTTGTGTTTGCACGCACTGTGCTAAACCATTTATATTCATAGTTTCATGTACTCTTGACTTTAGGTTCTGCTACTGTCTCCATTGCATAGACGAAGACGTTGAGACTTAGCTTGTAGGGCCATGTAGCTGCAAGAAGAGCCTCGGCCCCCGCTTTCCCTAGTGTTTCCCGCAGCTGTCCCTGTGACAGCTCACCCATTCTCCCAACCTGGCGTTTAGTCTGCCTGCGACACTGTGGTTTTGATCAAACCTAACACCCAAGGGCTGGGCTGTCAGAGATCCAGGACCTCAGGCCTGTGATGTCCATGTTCTTTGGCCCCAGCTGTGGTCCAGATCGGCGGACGGACCTTCACGCGATTTGACCAGGTGATGACGTGGTCCTTGGCCCTGCTGTACTGCCGCAGCCACCAGACAGACCTGGCCGACCTGCAGACGGTGACTAGCGAGGCAGGCAAGGAGGCCCTGAAGTCCATCACGAGGGAGACTGACGCCTGGATCGGCCTCTACTTCAATGCGAACTCGGGGGCTCCGAGCTGGTCCAGTGACCTGGGTGCCAGCATCCCGTCCTGGCTGGGGGCGCTGCCCAGGCTCGGGACGGGGCTGTGCGCGGGGCTCCGCAGCTACGCGAACCGCTCCCCGCGAGTCTATTCGGCCAACTGCTCCTCGCTGCAGCCCTTCATCTGCTTCCACGGTGAGTGCGAGGGCGGGACGAGGCGGAAGGGGTTTCCTTGGTAGCCAGGGACGTTGGGGACAGGCCTCGGGAAGCACGTCTCGATTTGAGGGTCACTGAGTTCTGCAGCAGGCTCCTGAGACCCTCGCACTGCGCGCTTGTGAGGAAGCTGTTTTATCTTAATTCTGGGATCTTTAAAGAACGGAACGGACTCCATCCTGCCTTTGGGCGCGCAGCTGGTGACAGCAGTTGGTAATCGGAGTCAGAGCCGGGCTTTGGACTCGGGCGGGCCGTAGCACCCTGAGCCTCCGGTTCCTCACCCGGACACTTATTTGGCAAAATGGGGCGGGCGATGCCGCCTCGTAGAACGGCTTAGACGGCCGAGAGCGGCGGTGCAGGACCTGGCGGGGACCCTGCACGGAGCGAGCGCCCGGCAGAGAGTGGCTGGTGTCGCCGTTCGTGTCGCCGTGACTGCGCGGGAGCCGAGGCACAGCCGGTCCCTCCCGTCTCGGGCGTCCCGCCCCGGTGTCCCGGGCGCTCTCCCCGCCCTGAACGTCGCCCTCTCGCAGCCCGGCCTGCCCCCTAGCGCGTCTGCGGGGCGCGCGTCCCGCAGCTCCTCACCCGTTCGCGGTCGCCCCGCTCTGCTTTCCGCCCCTGGATTTGCCCGTCTCGGCTGATTCTCCCGCGCTCGGGTTCGGGGGTCGCCGCCACCGTCTGCGAGGCCGCGCTCCCGCCGCAGAGCTGCGCGGGGACTGGAGGCGGGACAGCGCCGTCCGGTCCCGGCGTCCGCGCCCTCCTCCGCCGCTAGGCGGCGCGGCTGCGGCTTCCGGCCCGGCAGCCCGCGGGGCGCGCAGACCCCGAACTGCGTCTCCTCGCAGACCCCGCCGTCGGACACCGGCAGTCGGCCGCGCCGCCGCCGCTCCGTCCCGCCTCCGCCTCCGCCTCCGCCCCGGCGGCTCCTGCCTCCCGAGGAACCAGCGCGCAGCCAGCGCCCAGGCCACGCACAGGTGCTGGGGCCCGCGGCCGGGCGGGGGCGGCGGGGGCGAGCCGGGGCAGGGCGGCCAGGCGGACCCGCCACCGTCGAGCCCCGCGGTGGCCGGGCCCTGAACGCGGCTGCAGGGCCGGGCGGGGCTCCGGGGCCGCCGACAGCAGCGTCGCTGAGCGGGTCAGGAGAGCGACGGCGCCCGCGGTGCGCGTGCGAGGGCGGGTTTTACACGCGCAGATGAACAGACTCCAGTGTGGGAAGCACAGTTTGTAGCGCACTTTCAAGAGAGGGTGTCCCTGGGTTGGGGAGGGGATAATTTTGCTTCGATATTTTACAGTAATATACCACAAAATAACAGGATTTTTTTCCACATTCGAAAAAATAAAAAGACACCTGCGGGCACTGACAGGACTTTGGCGGACGCGAGGGGGCGGGAGCCAGGGAGCAGCCGGGGCGGGGGGGCCTCAGGGCGCGGCCCCGCGGGCCGGGGAGCAGCCGGGGGCGGGAGCCCGACCTGGGTGGAGGCGCCCCCTGGGCGGAGGCGCCAGGGCGGCAGCTCTGCGTGGCTGGAGACAGTGGAGGCGCCGCCTCAGTGGCGGCTGAACGAGAACAAGCGGGCACCGAGGCCAGACCCGCAACACTGCCCGGCCACGCAGCCTGACGCCAGGGCGGGTTGCAGAGACGACGGCGGCGCAATCGAGGGCGGGGTGCGGGGTCTGTGGCGGGCGTCAAGGACCGCCGGACCCGCAGAGACGGCCCGTCCCCGGTGTGAGGCCGCCTTCCTGCCTGCTGGATTTGCGATGACTTTATTCTCCTTCGTGCAGCCGTGACCGGTGCGGGGAGCGGCCCCGACATGGAAGATGCGGCTGGTGCCACTGAGGCCCGACCTTCGAGCTCAGAGGCCCACAGGAAAACATCGGCCCCAAAGTCAGGTAACTGCCTGCTTCCCAAGCGCCCTCTCTCGCCGGCGCAGCCGGCAGATCGGCAAGGTCACTCAGCGCGGGGCACTGGAGACCCGCCAGGAAAGACGGCGCTGGGGACAGGGTGGCAATGGCACATCACAGGCTGTTGCGAGCGCCCGACCGTCGCACAGACACTCGATAAACGAGAAAACGCCACGCGAGCACAGGGCGGTCCTGTCGTGAGGTTGCAGATGCCGCCACGATGACCAGTGCCCGTGGCTGGAGGAGGAGCCCGTCTGCAGGTCAGAGAACTTCTCCAGAGCTTTCTGGGAGTAGAGCCCGAGGAGAGGTGAGTGTTTCCAGCATGCCGTGCAGCACCGACTTACCAGATTACAAGGAGAAAAATACAGAAGAAACAGAAAGCAAATAATTGCCTGCTGGGTGGCCAGGCCGTGGAAGAACCAGCATGATCCCGAAGTGTAGGACTTTTTCTTTTTCAGCCACTGATTGGTTGGTCCTAATTGTGGCTGAGTGTTCTCTTATTCAGCAGTTTCTTTTTCTTTCCTTTTGAAATCCTATTACTAAATGACCATGTTGCATCTGTGGTGTCCAGCGGGCGCTCCTGACTGCTAAGAACGTGAAGCTTTCAAACGGCAGTAGGGTAATTTCCCCCGAACCAAGCAGCGCTTTCTTTTCCAGGGCACCCTTTCGGAATTCTGAAAGCAGATTTCACCATCCCGACTCTGATGGACCCGGAAGAGATGAAAGACCAGTTTTTGAGACAGGTGAGACGTCTGCCCATTCTGATTTTTTACCGTCAGATGCCTTGACAGTGCCAGGTGGAATTTATCAAAACCAGCGCAGCAGGAGACAAAGCTTTGCGAAGTTACCTCATCTCGTTCTCCCTGCCGTCACTCTGGCTCATGGTGACAGGTTGGTCATATGCTAGGATCTTTCTGGATCTTTTTCTTACTCTCTCCGATATTTTTTGAGTTTTTTTTTTTTTTTTTTTAAATCAAGACAGCAGAGTCAGAAGGATCTGAGTTTGGGTCTTGGCTTTATTCATCGTGTAGCCTTGGCCAAGTAACTGAGTCTTTCTGAGCCTCAGTTTCCTCGTGAAATAGGAAGGATAATAATAGCACCTAACTCGTATGTGGTTGGTGTTATGATTAAATGATATATTCCATGAAAAGTGCTCAGCAAACTGTCTGACACATAGTAGATGCTCAATAAACATTAGCTATTATTACTATCAACATTATTAGTGTAGTGTTCTGAATATATATTTGTCCCAGACTTTTTTTTTTATTGGTTCTTTTAAAGTATTGTACCATGGCAGATTGTGAAGAGGAAGAATTGTTACTATTAATAAATACTGACAGAAAAGCCTCAGATTTTTGAACGTGGGTTAAGAGCACATTTCTCAATTATATCGGATAATAATCATAGGGTGTCAGAGCTAGGGAGGACCCTACAGACCATCTAGCCAAAAATCACAATTTTACAAAGAAACGCATTGGCATTTACCTCACTGCAATTTATGCATAGACAAAACAAATAGTGCCCAAGCAATTCATTCTAGAATTTCACAAAATCAAGTTTCTAGAAAGACCAGTAGTGTGTATGTATAATGTATATGTGTTTATTATACATTTTACTGATATAAAGAGTGTATTACAATTTAAAAATTATAACAAAATATAGAATGCTCTATTGTAATTTCATAGAGCCAACTGGGTCTTACAAAATGCTCATGATTTTGGAACACTCGTGTGAGCAGGAGTGGGGAGGGGGATTGGAGAGCTTTTGGCCCATTTTGCTGTTGAAAGAATGCCAAGTGCAAGACGCAACTTAGCACCTGATAGATTTCAAGTAATAAAACTGCAGTACTGAGTATTAGGTCTACAAAAGTTAAGAACCTTTTTTTTGGGGGGGAGGGCGACAAAGGAATTTTGAGTTCTCTACTTTGTTTATTCCTTAAAAGTCAAATGCAGCATACTTGGTTCTGGTCTGGGCCCTTCGGCACTCTTTGAGGAGTACACTCACTGAAGCTTCTGGAACCAAACCAGAAAGCCACCTACCTTCTGTTTCAAATTGAACTCAACAGGGAAATTGGAGTTAAAATGGGGAATTTCATCTTCTGGTCAGCTCTGCTGGAATGTACCTATTCCATAAATGGGATGGAATGTTAATGGAGAGAATATCTACCTCGCAGATTTAAAGAATGGCATCGGTGGGGACAAGTGTGTGTGTGTGGGAAGACTGAGTGTATATTTTCAGTTTTAGCAGCACTTTAAATTCCAAATAGAAGTCAAGGAAACACCAATAGCCAACTTATCCCAGTTTCAGGAATGGGGATAGAAAACGTTTTAACACTCACGTGCGGTGCTCACAGCTCAATGTGGACCAGTGGTTCTTAACCCTGGCTCTTGTGAATCCTCTGGAAGGTTTTACACAAAAGCCTGGCCCCGTCCTTGGAGAGATTCTACGTAATTTTTCGGCGGTGGGGCAGGAGCCACTCCCACTTTTGAGAACCACTGATTCAGTCATCTGTTTTAGTCTTATTTGTTGTTAAACTTTTTCTTTTCTTTGGCTAACAAAATTGCTTTGTATACTTTCCTGTCCGTGAAGATGGTAATGACAAAAGTCAGGCAGCTGGAGGGAGCCTGGACATACACACAAGGGCACGTGGGCGGGCGGTTCAGGGCGAAGGGAACTACGAGGTAACAAGATGGCGTCAACAGTTTTTCTCTTTCTGACGTTTCAGATCAAAGAAGCCTTAAAGCTTGCACTAGGTCAACTAGGTCACCAGCAATTCAGACTGAAGTGGGTCGGCTTCGAAGTGAACAAAAAGTAGCCCAAGTCTACTGATTTGCAGTTTCCTTCTCATGTAGTCGGGATTTTGAGTGAATTTTAGTTTTTTAATTCCTAGTAGAACAGGATTAGAAATAACTTGAGATATGCCAAGAGGCATCAACGTACAACTAACATAAAAGAAAACTCTGGCAAACATGCATCCTGGATTTTATAGAATAAAACGGATATGCAGGAGAAAACGGGGGTATTTGGGAACCACAACCTTGAAAATGACAAATTTGGAATTTAAAATAAAAAATCTGAACCAAACAACAAAAATCCTGAAAACAAACCCCATTAATCTAATTGGAGAATGAAGAGAGGATAGTAGTGGTCCAGGAAGCTACACTTCCAGACAAACCAGAGGAAACTTTCTTTACCAGTCACAAGCTATTAAAGAGATTTAAATTCTCCGGGAGGAGGAGCACGTTAGTTGTGTCAGCACAACATGACATACATTAACGCTGGTTATTCGTCCTGCATTTGAGTCCTTTTTACCTCGAAGTTGGGAAATTCTAAGACACATTGTTCTTAAAATATATCTTCAGAATAATGATTTTGCATACGTTTCTTTCTCGTTTTTCTCCAAGTGTCCTAAGCACCCAGATGCAAGCTAGAAGACAGTGCTATGTCAAATACAGTAGGAACTTTAGTCTGAAATGTTTAAAGTTAAAGTTTATTTATATTCTTTGTAGGAATATCAATAAAAGACCTCAAATGTATCTATATCTGTACATGTACAAGAACCGTCAAAAATTATTCACAAAACAAAAATAAATCTTCTTTAGAACAAACCCAGGTAATGAAATGTGGAAATGGATCTCAGATATGGAACAATCTAAGTGCTACTAGCACAAAAATATGGCTTTAAAAATAAAATAAAATCTTGGGTTTTGTTTTTCTAAGGTGTATTTCTCTTTCTGAAATAAAAAATAAATTATTTAGAGCTATCATTGTAAAATAGTCGTGTGTGTTAACACACTCTTATTAAGGCCCTGGAGATGAAAAACAAAATCAAATTTAGAAGGTAAATTCCTCACAGGTGTGATTCAGGTTAATGTGCTGCTGTCTGCTTAAGTTAATTTTAATATAACTAGGAAATGTCTAAGCACCAGTTAAAATTTAACCTAATTTACTATTTAACTTTTCTGCAGGATAGTGGTCATTGAGTCGATTCGTATTTAACCTTTTCATGAACTGGGAATTGAAATTTTTCCCTTGGAAGTTTGCAAATGACATATTTAGACATAAATATCTGTACCCCCACACCGATGATGGAGGCCCCTAAAACACAGCTTCTGTGGAAATCTCTCTACAACAATAGATAAATCTGGTTTTAAGTCCCAAACTAAAACGATTCCTAGGGAACAATTAGGGCATTTGAATGAAAAATAACAAAGGAGTAGGAAATTAAAATGCATGCTGAAATACAAGCAAAAATGACCGTTTTCCTTTCCTTGGGTGGTTCCCTGCACTTGCCAAGTCTTGCTGGGTTGGCTACTCAAACATCTGAGGATTAAATGATCAGGGACCAAGGCTACTTCTTTTTGGATCTCACTCTCAGATCGGTGACAGCTTTCTTTCTATGACGCCCCATGGTATCAACAGTGATATTGAGGGTTTTTGAGACAATGTCAAACCAAATTAATTTCAAGTCACTTTAACTTATACATACATATAACACATACAGTACATTTTTAAGAGGACAGAATGTCATAAAATGTAACAAATGAGAGCATAAAACCTAAAAGAACTCAAAAGTTTGGGAATCCTGCTTTATAAAATGGATTAACATTAGAAAAAGGAAGCCCTAGGAACTGTGTGTTGTGTGGGTGTGCATGCGTTGTCCACAGAAACTGCCTTTCTGTGTGTCTGTGTATTTTAGGAGCGGGAAAGGGATACAAATCTTCGTTTCCTTGAACCTCTGGGCTACCAAGAAGACTGCTATGCCTTAGCACCCTTCCGGATCGTGTATCTTTCCCAGGTTCTTTTACTCCTCATAAGATATTTATTCTATCTCATGCAAATTTCATCACTTTTGTCCTTCCTAAGCTCAAGAGAATTCATAATTGGGTCATGACAACAAGAGAATGCTTCTAGAATTAATAATCATTCAAATATGAAAAGAGATTCTATTTAAAGATTCAACACCCCAACATTTCCTGCTTTTAATAAACTAGTAAAATAAGTCCTTTCAACTGACATATTGATAAAAAAAAAGTATCCCAAATTCTTGGCCCCCAGGGAAGGGGGGGGACGGCCACTGCTATTGCCGGGGCAAGCGAGGACTCTGCTGTGAGAACGGGAAGGGAGTGAAGAGGAAGCCCTTTCGGCTTCCCGCAGTCTGCAGGGAAGGCGGCCCCCAAAGGCGTGGCTGGAAAGGCAGGGGCTGTGGAGCAGCCGGGGGACCGAGGAACCCCTGAGGCGGGCTCCTTCCTCACGCCCAGTCCCAGGACCAGCCTTCTCAGGAGCTCCAAACTAGAAACAACTGGAAGCGAACCTAGGTGGCAGACAGAACAAATGCATAACGCAAACTCGCTTGAGGACAGCTGCCTTGCTCTGGGACTTCCAAAAGGGAGCCCTGCTCGCACTCTGGGATGGCTCTGAGGACAGCGCGAAAGCCAGTGGTCTGCGAACCACACAGATGCGGGACCAAGGCCGCGGGTGCACCGAGATCCACTTCTGAGGTCGAGCTCATTCTCAAGAGCTTACAGCAGTGGGAGCCGAAACACCTGCTCTGTCTCGGTCCGGCTCCGTCACGGAGAAGGGGGAAGCAGACCGGTCAGAGGAAGCTGATTCTGACCAACCTGATGCTAAGTGAAAAAATCCAAAAGCTACAGCAGCGTGACTGCCTCAGTTTGTCACATTTCCCTTACCAATAAACACACGGCCCTAGACCCAGGCAGCACCTCGGTGACAGTGCTTCGAACACAGTAGTTCTCAAGTGCGTGTTAGCTACCTAGGTTCGATCTCCCTGACGTGGCTTCTACCGCAGACTCGGGGAGTCCGATCCCCAGGTGGAAATGCAACTCCTGCTGCTGCTTCAGCCCAGAGGCCTTGTTGCTTCAGTGACGTAACGGGGGAACACGCTACATGTTGAAGCTCTCTTCCTGACTCCTATCGACATAGTCCTTGCTGACGGCCCAGTCTGGTTGTCAGCTGGACGAGCACTTCACCTGAGTTCCAAATTCCGCTCAACCCGGCCTGTCCTGCACCCCACAATGTGGTGATTTACAGGCGATGCCAGACACGGGCCTCTCTTCAACCAGGCACCTCCCCCCAGCAAACGGAGGCCACGCACCTATTTGGACTTTAGAGAGGCCAATGAACACCTCCATAAAAGTCATCATCCGTGCTGCCTTCTTCCATACTTAAAAAAGTCATTCGGAATAACTTCAATAGATTGCAGCATTCTCTAAAGAAACAAAAAATATTTGAATAGGAGTAGACTGAAAGGATAATCTAGCATCAGGCAACAACTCTGAACTTTTGGCTTACTTCTAACCCTCTTATTATTATTATTGCTCTTTTCTCCTCATTCAAGATAACCTGATAGTAGAGGGCTACACAGTCTGTCCAAATACGTTGGGCATTTAATCTGCCAATGTAGACAGCCCTCTAAGGAGCTCCCACAATGCTAACAAGATACTTTGTATCCATCAGAAACATACTTGATTGTTTTGGTCTCCTCTCAGCTCTCAGTATAGGTAATTTTATCAGCTCTCTCTAATCCATAATCAATACTTGAGAACTTCCAAACCTCAACGCAAGACGCCACCCATGTTACACACTTAAGGCCGTGGAAATGGTCAGTTCTTCTGCCAGGTTTTCTGTGGCACCACGGAAGGCTTTTACAAAGAATGAACTCAACACGGCTGGACCTGAGAATAGCCAGAAAAAGAACAGATCTGTTTACATCCTCCCTTCCTCAGCAAAGGGCACTACTTCAGAACTGACAACCTCTTCTTCCTATTAAAACAAATGATTCGGACCACAGGGTGGCCTCGGCTTGGAGGGAAGATGTAAGAACTTGTAAAATGACTGCCAAGGGTCAAGAAGAGACGCGAGGGTCAAAGCGGCAGGGCGTGAAGCCTGCAGATCAAGTAAACACAGCGAAAGCTCCTATTTGAATCTCTGCCTGGCACAACCAGGCACTGTAATGAGAGAAACTGTTTGAAAAGGTCGTGGGTGATGAGGTCATGACTGCGGAAATGGAAGGTCCAACGCAAAGATCCACCTGAGAGAGGTGCGGCCGAGGGCCCAGGAGGTTGGACGCAAGCCTGGGACTTGGGGGCGAGGGAGCCCGGGGTCTGTGTGGGCTTCGCTCGAGGGGCCCTGCGTTTGCTCCCTTACAGACATTCTGCCACGCAGAGACACTTGCTCCACCTGCACGGCTCCCTCAGGCCTTTTTTCCTCCCCTTTTCTTTTTAAAAAACATTCCTGAAAGTTTATAATTTAAAATAAACATCAACTTATTTGAGAAACATTGTTATTTTCTCAATATAAAACAACTTCTTAGATCTTGCTTAAAGAGAGTCAAGATCCTTTTATATTATATCTGACAACAGAGAAGGCATGAAATTTTCCTATGTGTGCAGTTATATGTACATATGTGTGAATATATATGTATATATATTTGTACTTATAATGTCTAACATATAACATTCCATACTCTGGTAATCAAAGTTACACTCAAGATGACATTTGACACCTCTGGAAAAAAGGAAATGGATCAGATTCCATGATTTTTCCTGTCCTATAATAAAGCCATGGATGACAAATGTGGAAACTAAGTCACTGTTGCCAGATCTACCGAGAGGATGGGAAGAACAACTGGAATGTGCCATCTTGATACTTTGTTTGTTTTTTCTTTCTTTCTTTTTAAACAAATAATCACCACTTTTAAGAGAGTGATGTCAGATTTGGATTTCCTTTCCAAATTTTACGGAGGGGATAAAAGGAAGAAGCAATTTAAAAGTTTAAGATGGAGATAAAATTACCCTGCCCATAGATTTGCTAGTATACCGGATAAATCTTTATTCCAAACAAAAATTATAACTTAATAGAAAACAATTTCAGTAGGAATATTCAGAGATTCCTGGTATGGTGTGGTTAGCCCTTTTCTGTGTGGAAGAAAGGGTGTTTGTTCAGATGGCTTATGGACAGCGTGTCTGAATAACCTCCCCGGGGAGAGCAAACCCTGTTAGTGATGATGGCTCCCGCCACGGGGAGGAAGGAGCAGTGGATGTGTGAAGATGAAGATGACATGTAGAGACACAAATATTTATAGTTCTGTAAACTCTAAAAGAGGAAAAAGAACATCCTTTATTACAATTGGGATTTTTAAAAAAGCCCCCTATCTAAAACAGAAAATTCCCATCTGCTATAGATAGAGGAAATTAACATATTGACAGGAGTTCAGTAGAAATGACTCCTAAAAGTCCAGTTTTGATACAACAACTTTTATCTGTCTCCTCTGAAACGGTGAGTTCCCAAATTGGATTAGCGGTCTGACCAGAACCAGTCTTGGCCGATCAGTGCGATAAATTACCGTTTCGTATGGATCTTGTATTTGCATGTTTTCCTAAGGACAAGGGGGCCAGAGCAGGGTCTTTAAACCGGTAGGTGAATCCCTGAAAACTTCGTCCTGACCACGTCCTACCGCACCTCAGGCGCTTCTACCCGCCCACGCCTGGTCTCTGCCTGCTGCGCCCACAGGCTCGCTTCCCACCCACACGCAGCTCCTCGCTTCCTCC